AAATAAATGAGAAAAAAATGTTTAAACATGAAAAGTATTGAAAATAAAATAAATTAATGGTATAAAAAGACAAATAAATAAAGTAATTTATTGATGGACTGGATAATGACTTAGTGAGTTAGTGAGGTGATCAAAAAGTAAAAAAAAACTAGATTGGATGAATGATAAAGTTTTATTGAGTTCTAATATATTTAAGGTATCTTGTGATGAAGGTCTTTTCCTGATATGTTGGTTGAGTGGCGACTTGATAGTTATGCTTGCTTTGACGAAGGTAGTGAGTATTAGTTTTGATTGGTGGTAGTAGAGGATGGATGACGTGGTTGTTGTTATTTTCTACTTTCTTGAACAGTCTTGAGTCGAGTGTGTTGAATATTTGAGTGACGGTAGGATATGATGCTGGTAAATGGTAGAAGCGGATTAGTTTTTTGATGAGAGATTGTAGTTGCTGAAGTTGTTGTTGTCTAGCAAAACCAGACCAGGAGGGAGCTGCATATTTGATGCGTGAGATGATGAGTGATTCAGTGATGTCGAATAATTTGATGCCTCTGAGACCATGTTAGCGAAGTGTTTTGAGTGCGTGAAATGTTTGAAAATCTTTTTAATGATGCGATTAATATGAGGTCCTACATTAAGTGTGGAAGTGAATGTGATGCCTAATATTTTTAATTGATTTGTGCGTGTGATTGATGGGTGTTCTTGGGGTAATGTTATTTTCTTACGACTATTGCGAATGATGAGTTCGAATGATTTATTTAGGTTAAGTGACAGATTGCTTTGTTTTGATCATGTGGTTACTGAGTCGAGTTCTGATTGGATGGTGTTCGTGTAAGATGATGGGATGATAAGGTAGGTAAGTCAGTCAGCGTATTTGATGATTTGATTAGAGCTATGAAGAGTTTTGAGAGTACAAGCATTGATGAAATAGATGGTCCAAGGGCAGAACCTTGAACTACACTAAAATTAATAGGTAGAGTAGATGAAAGAGTAGAACTAAAAAAATAAATGACTCCTATAAGAAAGAAAATTTTTTATAATATTGTAAATGTTGTCAGGTAGAGGAAAGAGGCTAACTTACTTGAAAGTGAAAAATGATTGAGTGTCAAAAGCTTTAGAAAAGTCGAGAGCAATAAAATGAACATAATTATTATTTTTAAGAAAAGATGTTATTATAGAAGTGAAAGATAATGGTAGATGAGCCTGCAGGGTTTGCGTTTTAACTCTGGCTACTGAAGGATGAGTCCCATAAAGGATGAAATGCGTCTAGCCTGGAACGATTAATCTGTTCACGGTAATAGCGTTTGGTTAGGGTGAGAGATGGATGATATATATATATATATATATATATATATATATATATATAT